ATTTTTCTTGAATTTTTCGTATATTTATATGTAACATTGTAATTGAAAGCGGACATAAAATGCCAGAAGGCGATTTGCCGCATGATTGTGTACTATGCCATGAAAAATATATCAATGAAATAAACCTATTGTTTAAAAAAAAACTATTGTCGCCATAAGCATCGCTTTTGTCACCATATGCATAACTTTTGTTGTCATAAGTATCCCTATTGTTGGCATAAAACCATCCAATTAGCTTAGTGGGTATCACTGATTTTTTATAGTCCTTTACAACTTAATACTTTAGATTATGTATACTACACTTGTAATTATTTCACATTCCTTATAATTATTTTGATCATTTCATGATAACTGTAATAGATAGGCATGACACTTATATCTACATTTATTAATGCTCTACTGGTATAGACATGATCAATACATGTTCCACCTTCTGTAGTTGGTATATCTGTGTCTGAGAGTAATAAGTATCGTTTGCGCATCATGAAATCGTGAATGTAATGTTTCTTTGAATCCAATAAATTTTCATTAAAATCACCTACGACGAGAACTTTGTCATGGTTTTTGTGAACATGCTGCAAAATTTTCTCCATTTCTGTTATGAATTTAGTTTTCTGCATTTTAGGCGACTTATATATAGTTATAATTGCAATATCTTTAACAATAGTTATAGCATTGTCTAATGGTGATGGTATGCTGATTGTTTGCACATTTCCTAAAATGCTTTTATTATAAATTGCAATGCCACCTTCATGGTTTGATAAGTTTAATACTTTTCTATTGACTAAGTGTGGAGAGTTAAATGTTTCAATCTCAAGGATCCCACTTACTTTTTCATCTCTAAGCCATGTTTCTGTGAGACAAATAATGTCACAACAAGACAAATCAGTGTTAGACTTAACATCTTTTATGTGAGCAATCAAACCTTGTGTATTGTGATAGATAAGGCTTAGATCATCTTCTGTTGCAGTTTCATATTTGGGCAGGTCAAAGTCTGGCATTTCGTCTAAAGCTTTTGCCATTTTTTCATCACAGTAAATTGACTTTGGATCATAATCGATAATGTAGAGACCATCAGATGAAGTAACTCTACTAAAAGCAACATATGCTTGACCACCAGCGAACATATCTTTGCAAGAAATTGCTAGTCGGTTACATGTTTTTCCTTGTAACTTATGTATAGTGCAAGCGTATGATGGAATAAGTGGTATTTGCTGTCTCATAAACTTGCTATTGACTTCATCATTATATGGTTCAATACGTATAGATTCAGGATGAACTTCAGTCTGATTTTTATATCTGGTCTTAATACCTACTTTTGGATTATCAAACTTCACCCATACAGCACTTGGCATATTGTCTGATTCCTTCTTAAACTCAATTGCAGTTACAACACCAAATGCACCATTAGCAAGTCCATCAGCAATACATATATTCTTTATCAGAAGAACTTCTGTACCAATACAAATTTGCAGTTCATGAAGAAGTGTATCTGCTCGCTGTTTTGGTTCTTCATCAATTTTTTTCCATTCTTGCCCCTTCAATTTATTGTGGTCAATTGCTTTTATCTTATATATTTTGGCATTTGTCGATTTTGCATGTGAGAGTATTCTCTTCCGATTATATGCATCAACATTGACACGCTTTGAATATACCCTCATAACATCTTCTGGAATCGGTTTCTTCATTATTTGTCTTATAAATTCATCATCTTGAGCTGATATCCTTTCTCCTTTTTTAAGAACTCTAATCCTATTTAAAAATTCTGCATATTTCATATCACCCTTTTGTCTCATGATTTGCGTAAGCTCTATTTTCTTGAACTTTTCCCAAGGGTTATAATTTGTTTCATCAGACTTAAGTAAACTTTTCTGTTTGACTGGAGGCAATTGATAAAAATCCCCAAATGCTAATATTGAAGTATCGCCAAAGTCAGGATTATCACCAGGTTTAATTTGCTGAAGCCTTCCTCGTACTGTATTAAATAGTCTAACGCTTACCATAGATATTTCATCAATTATTAAATCTTTCAGAGATTCGAGTCTCATTTTCAATGGAGCTATCTTGGATTCTTCAAGTTCCTCATACACTCTAGATAGATATCGTGAAGTTATTCTGAATGCAGAATGTAACGTATTGCCATTAATTTGGAAGGCACTTGTACCTGTTGGACTAGTTAAAAGCACACTCAAATCATTTGGATGCTTTAAAAGGTTTCTCAATAAATGGGTAGCAATGTAATGAATACATTTTATTAGGTGTGATTTACCAGTTCCAGCTTTGCCACAAATATGAAGAAATAATGGTTTTATTTTCTTACCCCATGATAGTTCTAGGCATTGTTTTCGTATCAAGTAAAATATTTGTTTTTGTTTTGTGTTCATAGATCTTATCAATTCCATGGCTTCATTTGTCGGTATTGTGTCCGTTTGTAATTCAACTAGACAATTCACTTTTCCTGTTTCCTTGTCTTTGGTTTTAAAATCAATGTCAGGCATATCAGTTTCATCAATGTCATCAGATATTGGTTCAATATTTTCAGAAATACACTCTTGTCTTTCTAGTTCTTGCTCTGGAGCTAAATTAGCCCATGCATTCTCATATGAATCTCCATCAGATAATTTATCTTGTGCAGCATTTAATTCATCACCAGTAACATCATAAATACTTTTATATTTTGTTACAATTTCAGAAACATTAAACAATTTACCTCCTTGTTTTATTTTGCCACATTTAAAATAGCCTTCAAATGTTTCATGTTTAGTAGGTCGTAATTCCTTATCACTTCTGTGTGGTATGAACAGTTGGAGCATACTATGATAATATTCATCCGGATTAGTTTCCTTTGAGAACTTTGGGTAGCGTATAATAGCTGGTGGACTTTTTGATCGCTTTTGTATAAATCCTAAACCAAAGTCTAGTTTTATTTTTTTGGATGTTTCCTTCTGATTTTCTACTATATCTTCATCATTGTTATATGTCACAAGTCTATATTGTGATGCAAATTCTGCCAAGCATAAATCATTGAATTCAACACTGTGTGGTCTTGCAAAATATCTATCTATGATACTTGTTGCCCATATTTTATCATCTTTCTGTTGACGAATTACTGAAATTGGTAGTGACATTTTAATAGGATTGTTACCTACTGGAAGGAAAACAGTTTGTCTTGAGCATTCTTTGAGATGAAGATTACTTGCTCTGTATACGGCTTCTTGAGCACTAACTTCTCTATGTTTCATATATCGGTAACCAATGATTTTCATGAGTTTAGAAGCTGAGGAGTTTTGTTCTTTGGCTTCCTGTTCTGCATCTATAAGATTCTGACTCATTTCTCGTTCCTGTTTTGATATATATGATACAATGTAGACAACACATGAAAATACATCAAGGACAAATTGTATATCCATATTGGCTTCCCATGCTTTTAAAAGGTCTGCATTGTAGTTATTTATCCAAATGTCTTTAACAGTTC